TAGGCAAGAGAAGCTCAAAATCATAACTGAAACTGTTCATAAATGCAGAGTACTGTATTTTGGAGGAAAATCTAATTCTGTACTTTACACAGATTGTCCAATTAAACTGACTCACAAAAGGAATATCAGCATTCTAAGCATCAATGTGAACAGCTTAGTTGAGACATCTTTGTGTAAATGTCGAAGTCAGAAGCCAATTAACAACAAAAGCAAATAAAAACAGAAAAGAAAATAAAACAGGGTTTTAGTACAAATCAGGTGTTTTCTCTCTCTGCAGTACCAGTGTGTTTCCTGGACCAGCAGAATATGAGTGATTATGCTTACTGACATGAAAAATTAGAATGGGTGTCAAACACCATACTTTAAAATGAAATAATTGTGTGTTTGAAGTCAGAGTAAAATCCACTAAGAAAGCAGATATGTGGAGTCTATGCTGTCTCTAAGAGTATCTGGTACTATTCGCATACAGAAAGAAGACCAGATAATTTCTGAGTCTGGTATAGTAACAGCAATTCCTGTGTATTTTCACATTTTCAGCCAGACTTATAAATTTATGATCTCTTCTTATAAAAAGAAATCTGCTGTCTTTTGTATTGGAAAGGCATGAACTATTAAGCAGAGGCAAAAGTTGCTTGTACAGAGGCTAGTCACATAAAAAAATCCAAGTATATAAAGCAAAACTACAGACAGAAATCAAGGAATTGCACTAAGACTTGTGTGTAGCAATTAAGCACTTGTGGGTTACAATGTCAGTTAATAAAGATTAGGAAAAGTACCCTTATCAGTGGGAAAGTGAAGTAGTAATGTCACAGAAGGTCTACAAGCATCAATTTAAAAGCCAATGCTCTGTACATGTTTGTTTTTTTTTTTCTATAAACCCCTTATCTTTTTCTGCCCATGCTAGTCCCAGATTTTACTCACTGCTCAGAAAAACTACCTTCTCACATCTAAAGTTCCTGTAACACCAATCATCTAAGGGGCATGCAGCAGGTGGGTAAGAAAAGGGCAAGAACAAGAAGAGAAAATAGGAGGTACAAAGAAATGGAAGCTTGTCTTCTCTCTGTGTTTTGCAGATCAAAGACAGTTTATGTCCTTTTCAATTTCACCCTGTAGGCCCCACTCTGAAGATCAAACCTGCATTATAATCAGCATTGGAGGCTTACAGGTCTTGAGTGGTTGATACCAGATCTACCCTACTTCACCTGCACTGGAGTTTGAAGTTCTAAGAAGTGACTAAACATATAATGATACCAGCTGGCAGACATAAGTTGTATTAATAAGACTTAATAAGACTATTGAGCATAATCTGTATCATTATTCATATACACCCATTTGCACATATATGAATTGATACATGATATAATGTAGCTCAACTTCAGATGTAGAACCTCCTCCTGTGGAACATCTACTTAATACCCTGTTGTAGCATTTCAGCAGAAGGACAAAACCTTATCACTTAGTGCTGATGACTGCATTAACAGAACAGTTTAATTATTTCCCTGTAAACCATGCCAGAATCTACTACTAAGTGATATATCTAGGAGATAACACAGATTTCACAAAAGAGACCACATCAATCCCTGGAACTTTCCTTCTTGCTCCACTAGTTATTAAGTTTTCAATACCACTGACTTACTTAAAATTTAAAAGGTTAACAATCCTACTGAATTTATATACATTTGCTTAAAATTAAACAAATGTAAGTCTGCAGAACAGAGTCCATCACTACACAAATTACCTTCAAACTTGATGAACTTACATAATTCAGTTTGCATCTTACAGTTTACCTCAGCTTACATAACTTAATCTCATTTTTCTGCCACCTTTCACAACATTTGTAAAGTGCACTCTGTGATATTTATATGTTACATTGGACCTACAATAAACAACGTGATTCTTCATTTAATTATTAGATGACATGTTGTTCTCAGAATATAGCTGGGTGTTGTATGCCAAGTGCCAACAGCAAATAATACAGGTTCTTCCTGTTCTGGGAGAAACCAAATGGGAGCATCTTCTTATTTGTTCACCTAGACTCCATTAAGTAAAATGTATTCACATAACTATTAGTGGGACAAACATTCACTCTGTAGTAATTTCTTATATTTCTGACTTTGACTTCTTAAAACTCAAGCATCTAAAATCAAGAGTAGCTGAGGACATGAACTGAAAATCTGAACTGTTTAGCAATATTGTTTATAATACTGCTTATTATTATTAGACTTTGTTTTTTAAATTGCGAAGTAGGAGAACTGCTTAGGCAGATACTCTTCAGACACAGGAGCCCAGCCTGTTACGAGGTCTCCTGATGTCCATTAGAGGGATTTAAGATTTCAGTAGTAAACATACATTTTTCTTCTGCATGCTTCAGTCTTCCAGAGTGCACTTTCTCATTTAAATAACTTGCTTGCTATGGATGTTCCTACTTAGCTAGTAAGAAGTTTGAATGATACCATGGACTGTATTAATGGTTGTTAATTTGACCTTGCTTTATCAGAGAACCTAGACACAACACTATTAGTACAGGTAACAGAACTGCTACTCTTTGTTTCTTCCAAGCTACCTTTCCACCTCTAGCTTTTACATTTGAGATACGTTTGAATTAACATTGCTCTTATTCGCTACTTTGGAAAACCCTCACAGTTGACTTGTACCAAGAATATCAAGAAAGCAGTATGGCTGCAATGTATAAAGTATTGAAATGCAGCAGATCTCAAACTGAAGGGAAAAAAAAGAGCTTTTGTCACAAAAACATTTTATCAGTGTGGATGATTTTATCAAGGATATGCTTAGCCATGAGTGCTGTTGGAAATTGATGAAATAATGGATCAATAAAAATCTCATGTTTTGACCTAAGTGCCCATTTGTCAATCATGTTTAAAAAGTTATTCTGAAAAAAGCAACTTTCAAGAATCAAGGCAGCAGAAGACAAAGTGGAGATCTGGATGCATGAGACAAGTTTCTCAGAAAATTATAGGCATGTGTGAAATCCTTTCAGGAAAAGTTAGAAGAGAAATAAAATATGTACTGGGTCATGGTATTGGCTAGTGTCAGAAAGTGGGCTAAGGACACTGAGCAGACAAATAGCAGAACACCAGTCACACAGACATGCAAACAACAAAGGTCAGCACGGCCCCAACTGATGGACAGTTCATGGAAACAAAGTTAGGCTGTACTAGATAGCAACTTCTGTGGAAGGGTACAACCAACCTAAGCTTAAAGAGGGAAGAGGACTTGTAAAGAAAAGCAGACAGTATCATAACATTCCTGATCTCTGTGCTGATATTGAGATTAAAAGTACCAGCAAAACTGTACTACAAAAATTCATAAACCTGAAAATTCACAGAATTTTCCTTTTTGCAATTATTTTAATATAAGAAGTTTATTTTGATACCAAAAGTACCTCTTTTTTAGGTTCTCATACTCACCTACTCTCAAAGTATCTAAGATTTTAAAAACAAAAGTATTTTCACAAACATTCACCTTATAAAACATGAATTAGTTAATGCTGGGTGATTCTGCTATATACTGAGGATCTGAAATACTTCAAATAGTTGACAATTCCTCCCACCCACACAAAACCACCAATGTACAGCACACATTTTAAAGCAGGGAGATTACTGATGCGTCTAAGGTCTCAGAACAAGTGGCAGAGAACTAAGTCCAACAGTTGTGACCCTAATGCTCTAAAAGAATGCTTGAGACTTCAGCTTTCACAACGAAACATAAACTTGCTTTAAAATGCCTGATGATACCAAGGATAGGGAAAGAGAGCAAGAAAGAAGAGTATATGTGGTGATTCAGAATGAAGAAGGGATTACCTCTCAAACTGCAGCTTCAGACCTCCTACTCCAGGCAGAAATAATTGGAAGAAATAGGAGTACCTGATAAATGGACTGACCTATGTGGACACTCCTGTGCTACACTAAAAAAAAAAGCACAACATTCACAGGTATTCACATGTTTTTAAAAGCCTGTATGAGAACATTTTTCAAGACTAAAAATAAATACATTGATTCCACCTGCATTTTGATCAGCGTTTAAGTTTAATCAGAGAAATAGTTTTGTAATTTCAGTGTTAACCATGGTATCAATACAGGCTTTCAATATATAACCAACCAGTTCCCACAGAAAGTAGAGACACTTCATATACATTATCAGGCATCTTTCTGAGGGATATGACCACAGGGGAAGATCCAGTGAAAATACAGTTATGCTGGCATGGGTGTTTTTGCTGGTATAGCTCAACATGCCAATCTGTTATTAACTCTGCTGGAAAAAGCACCGGTGCAAGTATAACTGGTTTTTGTGGGACAAAGCTAGCTGGTATCTCCTGCTGTACCTGTACCATGGCTCTGCTCTTTATAGGGATTATTTTCCTGTACTTACACAGGTGACAACTCATTCCACCCTCTGTCTGATAGCCAACCTTGGCAGCTCCTCTCACTGCACTAACAAAAAAAAAAAAAGAGGAAAAGACAAGGTGTGGCAAAACCTACATCAAAGTTTTTCTGAATTTTTAAAACTTTTTTTTTAATTTTATTTTTATTCCGTCGTTACCACATTTACAAGCCATTTCTAGCACACACTCAGGAACCACACTGTACCCCTACACAAAGAGCCCCAGGACAGTGGGTGACCGGAGCCCGCACGGCAGGAGGAGGTGCCTGGGCAGATTAACCCGCGGGCCGCGGGGTAGGCTGGGCTCGGCCGCTCAGCCCGACCTCCGGGCGAGGGCGGCCGGCAACAGGCCCGGCCCCGCCGGCGCGGGAGGAAACGCCCCTTCCTCCCCTCCCCTGCCCTGCCGTGGGGTCCGCCCGCTGCCAGGGGCTGCCAGGGAGCGGTAATTGCCGCCCCGGCCTTGCACAACCCGCTCCGGCGCGGCCCGTGCCGGCGGCGCGGGGCCGGGCGGCACCGCCCCCTCCCGGCATCCCTCGCTCGGCTGCTGGGCTCGGCTGCGCTCGGCTGCGCTCGGTCGGCGGCTCCGCGCTGCTCTCGCCATGGCCGCCTATAGCAAGTTCCTCACAGCGCGGCACTCCGCCATCGCCGGGGCCGCCGCCGCCTGCGCGCTGCTCTGCCTGCTCAGCAAGCGGCGGGCGGCCGCGCAGCACGGGTGAGCGCGGGGCCGGGCCGGGCCGCGGGGCGGGAGGGGCCGGGCGAGCCGCGGGGCCGGCGCCGGGAGGCCGAGGCAGCGGGAGCAGTGGTCGCCCTCACGGCCCTGGCCCGGCGGAGGGGCAGCCGCGCCCCTGTGCCACACACAGGGCGCTGCCACCGCTGCCATCGCTGCCATCTGCCCGGGAGGCGGCTCCTGGGCACAGGGACAGCCTGCTTCTCCCCACGCCTTCCCCGGCTGAGGTCCGTGCTCCTCTTGCGAGTGTCCTACCACCGCCGCCTTGTTACCCAAATTATGTTGGCTTTTTCTATTTTCCGGACTAGGAATGAGTATTGACACTTCTGGGGATGACTGTATCTGCATAGGCAGTTAATTGACCCAGCTGTTGTTTGGATGCTGCTGTGTGACAATAAGATACACGGGCAGCGATTTCAAAGGGGCCGAATGTGGTGATGTTCTCTGTGAGGTTGCCTTACAGGTATATTGTTCTAGGGTTTGTATTCGTTAATGCCTTAGAAAGCACTGGTATTGCAAAGTGTGGCAGACGAAGAATGTATCACAGGCTCAGCCCTTTCACGGTTTTACTGTATTTGAGATTGTAAGTTGTTAACTATATGCTTAAGACCTGATGTGTTGCGATATTACAATGCCTACAGGTGTCTTGTAAGCACTACCAAATACTGAGATAGACTTACTCAACAGACTTAAGTAATAACATACCTGAGATTAAGCAAGGATCCAGTTTTATTTTACCTAAGTCCACTCATGCACAGTATCTGTTGGAGTTTAATGAAGTTAGGTAACTGTCACACAACATGGCAGACATTGATACCTCGCTGACAAGTCATGCATTTGCTACCTTACATTGTTTCTTGCATGAGAGTTAAAACAAGATCCTGAGCTATGGCTGCGAGTTACTCTTCTATCAGACTCATAGGGAGGAGTGATTTTTTTCAAATATCTCTGCCTAAGTTAGTCAAATTCCACTTTCAAAAAGCAGAAAAGCTGTACGGAAGGGCACAAAAATGATGAGCTCAGATTTTCATGCCTAGTGTAGTGGTGGTTGTCAGAAATACTGGGCCATGCAGATGTTCCAGGAGCAGTTATGTGTTAAGTCAGACCAAGAGTATTCTTTTAAAGTGAATCTCAGTTGTCCACACTTACCTTGGTTTGCCTTCACTGGGGAATGATCTTGGAGCACACAAACCAGGTTACATTCAGATTGGAGCACATCTTCAAACATAGATCTATGGTCCAGTGTAGTTTTGAAGTGCATTTAATATTTTCCCACTGTTAGTAGCATTCATTTGATCAAAACAGGCTAGAACTTGTCCAGAGTAATCTCCCTATACCTGAAATAGATATTATGTGGGTCCTGTGCTGTCCCCATTCAACTGTTTTGCTTTCATGTCTTAATGATGTTGATCTGCAGGACTTGACAATGGCAATGCATGCATTAGCTTGAGGGTCAGTGTATGGAAAGTGGCAGCCTAAATGCTGAAGACTCTTTGGAATGCTTCTTTCCTGTGTGGATCTTCAATTTTGCTAGGTATAGTGTTAAAAATCTGAGGTATTCAGATATATTAGGTGGACCAAACATTATTACAAGATTATTGGGAATTGGGAAAGGAGGAGAACTTATGAATTACATTCCAGCAAATTCAACAGATGCATGAGCTTGTGAGAGCCTGACTTGATCTGTCCCTTCTGCTCTCTCTGTACTGCAGTCTTTCTGATACCTTGTCCTTTACTTCTGTAATCTCTTTAGTCATTTTGCATTCTTGAATTTCTTAGAAATGCAGTTGCTAAAGTAAGTGCCATGCTTACAAACTTGATTTTTCACTTGTGTGTATGTATTGTTTTACACTTTTGAGTCCCTCCACAGCTTAGGTCTTATTTACTGCTGCTACTGTATTGTGGCCATGGATTCCAAACTCAACATCCAGCATTCGGTTGTTTCAGTAATAGCTGTGCTGCTGCTTGAATGCTGTTTTGAGGATGGTTTTTGCCCACTGGTCTTCGTTCTTTTCTCCATGTTTCCCTGTGAGGCAAACCTTGCCAGGAGCCTTACAGAATGCTACCTGTCAAGACTAGGCAGTAGGTAAGCTACATTGCCTGTATCACTGGGCTAGACAAAAGCATCTGGTTATTACCATTGCCTCATCCTCCTTTAGTCTCATTAGTTCATGTATCATTCATTTCTTCATGTTTTGTTGCTGATATAAATTAGAGAATACTTTTGAAAAGGATTGTCTTCCTGCCAAATCTTAACGTTTTCAGCATTCTTGTGCTGGTATATGATGCTGACATTTAGTAACAAGTGCACAACCTTTGAAATCTGCAGGGCCTAGTGTGTCCTTTAACATCTGTGTTTTATATCTCTGACTCTCTGGGAAGAGGAAGAAGTTGGGAAGGCATGGCTGTCCTAAATTTTTGTACTTATTCCTAGGGTGAAGAATTTCACATCTAGATAGTCTGGAAGAGGACTGGTAGTGTATCTGCTGCTTGAGGTTAACTGGCTAAAATCCGTGAGGTGATTTAGTTTTGTGTGTGTGAATTCCTTTGTTAACCTTGGTGTTTAATGCCTGAAAATGTTGTGCCATGTCAGTGTGAGGTGAATTTCAACTTCTTGAATTCTGGAAGGTGAAATTCTAGTTTTGAGCTTTGTAAGGGCAAAGGTAAATGTTGCAGACCTGAATATAACCAGCAGAATGCTGGGCTTAACATTCAGGTGAATCATTGAAGTGTTCTAGTGCAACTTTACCTGCAAAACTTCTTCCTTCCTCACATAGTTTCAGAATACATTTTGTACATACTTTGTGTTCAAAATAACATTTCATGTTTTCCTATTATTTCATGTATTTCTGGAGTACCTGCCATTTTTCTGTTTGATTTTTGTGTGCTTTTTAAAGTTTTGCTGGAATGTCAGCAACAGGCTTGCTGCTGATTAAACTTGGAAAGTAAAATAACATACAAATTGAGAAAAAGAAAATCATGTTTTAGCAAATCAGATGTGTTTGAATGTGTAACACGAAAGTTATGTGACAGGCCTGTCATGTTGTATGTGTTTGTTTTTATATAGAATAACCAGTTTATAGGCATGATAGCAGGAAGGAGAGGTAGCAACTTTAACCTACTTTTCTGCTGTCAAACAATAGGGGCAAAGTTCAGTACAACTCATATAAAGTAGTAATGTATGAATAATTAAGCTGTATGTGTTATGCCAACCTGCCTTACTAGGTCAAAGATCACTTAATTAGTACTGCCTGGATTAGTCACAGGTGTTTTCTGTAAGAGATATTACACTGCTCATTGATTTTGCAGAACTGAGAGGTGGTGTCACTTGCAATTTACAACACCTTGTTACTACAGGTTTCTGAAATCTTACGAAGTAGAGTGATGTAGAACTGTTTGTTTAACTTGTTAGTTTTCAATCTTACTTCCTTGGAGTAAAACATGGAGAAAAATACCTTGGTTCTTTTTCAAAGTTGCTCTTAAAAAGTCTGTTTCCTTACAAAAGCTTTGTGCCCTCTTGGAAGGGGAAAGTTGTGATATCTAAATGCAATTATGACTTCAATTGTAGTATTTGGGTTTTTTTAGAGTAATGAGAAGTTCTTTGAGAAACTACATTATCCTGGGTTTATAATGCAGAAAAAAAAGGTCTGTTTATTCTCTTTCCCTAATCTTGCTTCAAACAAGAAGTTACAGAATATTTGCTTAAGATTTGATTGCTTCAGAATTAAAACCTTAAGGGGTGTTACATAAAGGAGCTGGATATTTTTCATTACCCTTCTAATAAGAATTTTTCCTGAGTATCCATGTAGTTTAAAATAAAGTACTTACGCAAGTAGAGAATGAGCTTGGCTTACTTTCAAAAAGATCTTTAATTCATACAACTTTCTGCTGGATGGAGGGACTGAAAGAAGTAATAGAAGGTAGTACGGGTAAAGAGTTTGAAACTGCAAGGTTAGGGAAAGGGAATAAACAGTTTAGAGTAATAGGAAGGCATTTGTAGTGACAGGGAAGGTGACAAAATATTTTAGAATCTGCTCGTAGGGCCTTTCCTATCACCTAGCTGCATTCATTAAAATCCAAGCAGATGCTAAGACATGGACACAGTTTAATATAAACTGAACTTCTGAAACCCCTGTGATGGTATCCCACCTCTGGGGAAAAAATGAATAAAGCAGGAATAGTGCCTGGGGCCTTAGAGGTTAGGCAAGCCTGAAGTGAGGGGAAAGCTCATTGAGTGGAGGGATGTCGAGTTGCAGACAGTGTAAATCAAATAGGGTTTGCACAGTTCATCTTGGGTGACACTTAACCTGTGCTCCTGTCTGTCTCTGTGCTCCTCAGCCATTGTCTGCTGACAGAGTGGCAGCACGTGTCACTTGCTCAGTACATGTCCCTGCTTGTGTCCTCAGCTGCACAGCCTGTGAACGTACAGTGACAGTGTTGCAATCAGAGGTGACAGACACACGTCCAAATGCTCAGAGGTGCCTTCAAACATAAAATAGGAGTTTAGATATAGCAAGTGATAGTTGTAGCTTGAAACAGATGGTGCATTTTTATTCCATTTGAATGTATTTAGAATATTCTTGTCTCTTGTTAGTTTGTGTAATTTCTCTAGATTCTGAATGTCTTTGGGTGGGCTTTGGGGCTTTGCCAGTGTACTTCAAATGGAGGGACCTGTTCTAGTTGAGTCATGGCTGTTTGATAGGAAGGGTGAAATTACATTGCTGCAGATTAACAGACTGCTTTTGTGTATGTAAAAGCCTTAAAGGGAACCTGTGTTGCTTGAAGGAAAGGTGGCAGGTAACAAAAACAACTTTATGCTAACTACATTGGAGTAAATTTATCCAGATGTGAATGTGACTGTTCAGTCTGCTGCTTGCAGTAAGTGCACTAGCGTTGAGGGGAAAAAAAAAAAAAGACAGGATTACTAGAAAATACACTGAAAATGCAGTGTTGTAGCAAAACCTGCCTGGGGCTCAGGAAACTGAATTCAGCTGGAGGGTATGGAGACAGGAGAAACCAGATGACTCAGCCCTAATCGTAGCATTTAGACTGCCTTTGTTTGGGGCCTGGCTAGCTAATTAGTGGTTTCTCTCTTAATTAAGTTGCATAAAATGCTTGCTGTCTCAGGCAAGATCTAATGTAAGTGTGTGTGACAGTGTATAAATTTTTTTAAAAAATATTTTTTAAATTTTTTAGGAAACTAGCTAGAAATCTTTTTCCACTGTTATCCATGAAGGAGATCTGCAGCAACAGCTCAGGCCCAAGCACAGCTTAAGACAAAATTAATAGTGCTGAGGTTTTTCTTATATGTAAGATATATTATTGAGATGCATTCTTCTACTGAAACTTAGAATTTCCTCTCCAACAGTTCTGCTTTGTCTTCTTCTCATAGGTTTGTAGAAACCTTTTGAGCTTTAGCAATGCAGAGCTCCTGTTTGCAGTAACAGCTGTGACCTTCTGAGTCCCCTTCTTGCTTGCCTGAATACATTCATAAGTAGTTATTTTTGGTTATGCTGCAACTAGCCACCATATCTAGAGCCAAGAAAGTTCTGTTCTTGGTTTCTGTGTGTGCTCAGAGTGTACTGTGTAAATGGGCATTCTTTTGGACTGCACCCAGGCTTCTATGTAGGGTTGCTGCCCTTGACCTGAAATAACTGTACTGTTGCTCTCTACCCCTCTGTGTGAGACATGCACTATGAAACTCTGCCTGCCAGTTAGCTACACCAGACTTTTCTCACTGTAGTTGTTATTTCTTCACACTGTTGCATTGCATCTTTAGCCATTTGAATTTTATTCTCTCTTTACAATGTCTTAGTGACTCCAAAACTAACCTGAAAACTGCACAAATAATCATGAACTATTGCAAAATTGTTTATTTTGTGGGATTTTTGGAAGCTGTGAAAACTGCACAGTGCCATTCCAACATGTAAGGTCTGCAGGATACAAAGGTTGCCTAGAGGTAACAACTCTTTGAAATGCTACACTAAATCCTAAACCAGATACTCTTTCTTTGCACTGTGTTGAGCAGATGCAAGTCATCCTAACTCCACAGAAGGAAGGTAGTATGATGTGAATGAAATTTGTAGGGTTTTTTTCAGTTAGGGACAGTGTAACACTTTAAAGCCCTTAATCCCTCATAATGTGTCATTAAACAGCAAGTCTTGCTTATCACCCTCTTCACCTGCAATTCCCTGTTGTGCTGAGCTCAGTGTAGATTGCTTCCTCTGAACTTTGTTCTGGATGGAGACCAGTATTTCTAAAGACAGTAAACCTTTAACTTTTTCCTGTTTGCTAGGAAATACCACAGAACTAGTGTGCCTGAGACCTTTCAGTAAGAAGACTCAGGCCTCTTGAAGGCTTTTCACAGTTTCTCAAATCACTTTCTTCTTCAGTAGTGTTGAGAATGATTCTGTTCAAGTAACCAGTATTATTGCATGTTTCTTTAGAGGAATAGCCTCACTGGTATGTAAATAGAGTCACAAGTGCTCCGACCAATACTTATTTGGAGACTGGAATTGCATGATTTCTTCCTCCCCACTGGGCTACCATACTGCCCTTGAAGCTGGATCAGCTGTCAGATGCCTGTACAAAGTCCCAAAACTCCATTAGTTTCTTTAAAGCATCTTGCTGGTATGGGCTGATCATGTTTCTCATTTTGTAGGAGAAAGGTGTTTTGTTGTATTGCCTCCTGCCTACTGAGTAATTACTTACTTCTCCTTAGAGAGTTGCTATTCAGTTACCATGCACATATGAATGACAAGTTTGGTGTAGTTGTGTCATCCCAGGTACTGCTGATGCCTTTCTTTGCTTTTTATATCTGTGTTTGCTGTAAAAGCCCTGTGCATGTAAATAATGGGTAGCAGGCTACATCTGAAATGCTGCTTTTCCTGAAACTTCTTCAGGGGATGTGTGTTCCATTATAACTCTAGACTCTTTATGGTCTTAAGAAATTTTACACATTGAATTGATTGCTTTGACTGCTTTGTGGAGGGCTTTGTGCAGTTAGATCTTGAAAATATATGGTGACAAGTTCCACTGTTTTTGATTCACTGTTAGAAATGTTTTACTACTGTATTTTTTCCCATTTTTTTCTATATGTTTTCTGGATAACCCTTTTCAAAAACCTTTTCATTGTCATCCCCCCTTGTCTGTGAGGGCACGAAGGAGCAATGGCTCTGTACCAGGGGAGTTACTTGCAATGGAGAACTTTGCCAGCATATGGGACTTACCTTCCTCCACCACTGAGCCTTGTGATGCTCCAGCATTATGTAAATGAGAGGTCTGGAATAATGGAGAGCTTGAATCTATTCCAAGTGTTAGAGCTCTCTGCTGCAACCAGATAGTCTTGCTGTATTCTTGCTGACTAATTGAGAATGTTATTTAGTCTTTAAATTCATTGAGAATGCAACCACCATTCTCACAAAAAAGTTTTACAGTAGTACAATGGAGTCAGGAGTAGTGCCAATAGGTATTGGACTGGAAAGGTTTTATTCCAGGCAGAACTATGGCAGAGTCTTTATTTGCAAATAAAATGAGAGCTATGTAGGCACATTTAATATTTTTTTTTTCTTCTAGACTTCATATGTAAGATTGTTTCCATACTTTTGAAGTATTAGTCTTGTTTTGAGTTTGCACGAATTTTTTAGAAAAAAGAGAACAGAACACTGTTAAAGCTCTTTTTTTATTAGATTTTAAATTTACAAATGCTTCATTTTTATCTTAAACTTTATAACTATAAATGCTAATTAAATGTGAGTTTATTATTAAATGTAAGATCTTGATTTCTGAACAATCCTCCTTTCTCTTTAATGGATAATCAGTTTCAGCTCAGTCAGTAATTTCGGCTGCTCAGTTTCTCTCAACAGCTACTGTAGGAAAAATATATCAATAAGTACATCAAAGATATTCAACTAACTGACAGAATAATTCTGGGCCTTATCTACCTAACAGATTACTCTATTAATATATTCGCTTCTGATCCTTTTAAAGCTGAAATAGTTGTGTATTATGAGTGTTGCGACTTCAAACACTGGCAGAACTTGAAGCAGTAAAGCTTATAGGAATCATTACAGCATATATGGAAGAGCAGCATGCTTTCATCTTACATTATAGCAAGTCATGAATCATCTAGAGAAATAACCACATAGTTTGATCACTACTTATTCATGCTTAATAATACAACTTTCCTCCTACTGCCAAACCAAATGTTATTGGACTGATCCATATTCAAGTTTTGTAAAATTAGAAGATGGATTGAGAAGCTTCTTGTACGAGAAGTACATTGCTCTTGCATCACCAGGATGTAGTCTCCAACTAGATTGTTTCTTAGACTTTACACCCTCTTACCATTTCCACAGATTTACTGCCCTCACAACCTGATTAAATGTTATATCTCTTCTGAACTTTTATTTTTTTCTGCCCCAATCTGGCCCCTGCTGCCCTTCATATTCATTCTTTGTTTTGTCTTTTACACAAGTAGTCTTACAAGATTTTTATCTTCTCTCAGACTTCCGTCTCTGTTACCTTTAATTAAATTCTTGCTCAACTGGTGGATCTCCCTTCTTGCTTTCATGGTCTCCTCCTTCCCTCCTCCTTCTTTTCTCATGTTCCTCTGCTACCTTGCCTCTGTCTTTCATAGTAATTAAGTTATTTCTTTTTATTGGTCAGTGACATTCATGACATTCATGATCTTTTTAATCATCATAAATTAAAATAGGCACAGTTTCATCCTAGATATTTTCTTGGCAGAGCTCTAAAACACAAGTGTGAAATGGTGCTGTTGATGAAGTTGTGGGATAGCTGGTTGTGTGGCAGTCTGCTCCTGTTTTGGTGTTGTAGACCAAAGGAGTTTCTGCTTTCTTGTAGTGCCCTAGGTTTTGCCTTGAAAGTGTTGTAGTTTTAAGGCAGCCTGCTCTCAGTGTTACAATATCATGGTTAAGAAAGTTGTGGTTTAATATAGTTGGTGGCTTCTTCTAAACTACATAAATTCTCCAAACAGCTTCATGTGCTTGTCTGATGCTTGAGTGCTCCAAAAAGAAGAAAGACAAACTAGAACTGCCTTACTGTTCACTTTTCTTTCTTAAAAGTAGAGGCAAAAGAATAGTCTTGTGCTTTTGAATGTTTGTTTAGCACCAGTTGATAAATATTTTTCTACTAACTGTTCTGTTAAATGCAGAGGAAGGAAAATAGACTAAAAACTAACTCCCCTTTAAATGGACATCTTTGCAGGAACTTGATTCGTAGGAGCTGGCTTTGTTTCCCCTGTAGCACATGTTTATGAACAAATAATCTCTCTCTGTAGTAAATGTGCTATTTTTGAAGTCAAATGCAATGCAAAACAAATCTGCTTAGCTTATGTAGATAGTGTGAAACATCAAAGTTGGCTTGCTTGGATTGCTGGATCTGCATTCTTGTAGTTTTCATTTGTGGTCACTGGAACCATGTAGCCATGCTTGTAAAGTATGTGTGAGAAACAGAAAAGCCCTTGGAGTTCATGATACAGAGCCAAGGTAAAGCAGAACTTGGAGATGAAAGGGTGAGACCTGGTTTTCCTGGTTGCTGGAATGAGTAGGGTTTCACTGGCATTACATATGCTGGATAAAAGCAGCATTTAGGTTTGACAGGAGGTTACCCTGCTGTATTGCCCTGAAAGAAATAGGTAGCAACATAATCCCAAGATTTCCTCTCTGTCTTTTATGTGTAGAGATCAAGACAAAGAAAAGTATGTTAATGACAAATAAATACTTTTTTCTTTTCTCTGCAGTAAAAGAAGTGGAAAAGCTTTGCAGAATATTGAGGTAATTCTTTCTTCATGTCAAATATTCTTTAATAATTTTAAATAAACCTGATTTTTTAAAACTTTAAGTCCTATAACTGTAGTTTAATCTTGGCTACTGTGCAAATACAGTTTGAATGATACTTTCAGATTTGCATTGGTGAAACAAATGGAAGAATCAGGTTAATCACAAGAGGCTGAAGTTTGATTCCATAATGATGGATTCTTGATGTGCACAATGTCCTTTTATTTCTTATTGCCCTATGAATTTGTAAGGAGCAGTGTTGTAAGATTTTCTGTATAGATAGAAACAAACAGCTGTTTAGATTTGTGTAGATTTGGTATAGCTTGTGTTTATTTTTTATGTAAAAGAAAAATGTATGGAACAAGATGTTAAGTCTCACAGTTTCTAAATTGAAACTACTTCGAACATCTGGTAGGAGCTTTGTCATTTCCCTGATCTTTTGTGTGTCTGTTAATTCAGTTATTTGAAAGGGATATACCAAATCCCTTTAAGCTAAGATTTTTGTTTCATACTCAAATAAAATAGACCAAAAGACAGAGTTTGTGATTCTGGTGTTACAAGGGTATGAATAGATTCCATGTACTTATATCTTTGCTGAAAACTTTTTAAAAAAGGCTTACACTGGATAAATAGAAGGGTGTACATTGTATTTTCTGAGACCCCCAACAAAGGGAGGAAATCATGACTATGACTCCATGTTCTTAGAAGGCTAATTTATTATGTTATGATACTATAGTATATAAAAGAATACTATACTAAAGAATACAGAAAGGATATAGCAGATGGCTAGAAGTACAGGTCTGCTGGTACTGTACTATTGCAGTTTGTTTTGATAGCTCCCAATTCCTTATTTAACTTGTCTGAGCAAGTCTTAAGTTCGCAGGAAATATTGCAAATTCTGCAGAAGGAAGGTAGCTGTAAATGACTTGGATGGGGAAATATCACACCAACAGTTCAATAATACAAAAAAAAAAATCTCACTTTTCTTGTTTTGTTCTGTGTGCAGCAGAAAGAGGGAAAGAAGGAGCGAGCAATGGTGGACAGAGTGTTTATTGCACGAATATGTCGAATCCTGAAAATAATGGTCCCTAGAGCATTTTGCAAAGAGGTAAGCATTTCTTGCAGTAATAAATAATGAAATAAAGCTGGAGTCAAGTCTCTTTTGAAATTACATCAGAATTTAAACTGCATATACGTTACTTAAATTGGACTAAATTGTGCTATTTTAAAATAGCAATGTAATAATATAAAAGTCTACATTATGCTCAGTTGTTATATCACTAAAGGTTCTGTTTTCAGTTACAAGATAGGCCATTTACTGTCAGCTGCTAACTACTGTTGTAGCACAACTTTTAAAAGGGCATCTGGGTTTGTCTTGCACAAAGCAGTAGACTTCTGTGTGCAAAAGCTTCTTGCCTTTAAATAGGATGCAGTTCATTCATTATTTTGATTTAGTAACTTACTGCCAGGCCAACCTGTATTAGAAAATGAAGTTGTCAAAAGTTCTCTTCAGCATCATTTCAGGAAAGCTATGCAGTGTAGAAATCAGTGCCTCCATCTTTCTCAGGCTTTCCAGTGCACTTTTAAAGAAAAAAGATCCAAAGCATTAGTTGAGCTTGGAACTTAAGCAATGAACTGTAAGCACTTATACATCAGGCACAAGAGCAGTGAATTGTGATGTCCAGAATGTAGACCAGGGACCTTCAGCAGCCCAGCTACAAAAAGGAGTTGCATAGAAGGTAGAAGAATGGATGGAAATGCCTGTGAGAGTGCTCACAGAGCTAGGCTTTATCAGCTTCAAAAAATCATGGCTATTAGAAGAGGTTACGGATAATCCCAAAAAACCTCAAACCTTGCTCCTATATTTGAAAACAAGTTTACTGGAAGCTACAGGCTGGTCAACCTCACCATATTCCTGGCAAGACTGTGAGCAAAACTTCCTGTAAGCTAACTCTGGCCACAGAAGGGACAAAAAAGTGATTGCAAGCAGCCTGGATTTACCAATGTCAGATCATGCCTTACTAACCTGATTGCTTTCAGTGATGAGATAAGGGAAGAACAGAGGATATTGAATACATTGATATCAGGTCTCCATTAATACCCTAACAGCCAAACTGAATTGGCTGGATGAGTGGACAGTGAAATGCATTGAAAACTGTCTGCACTGTTGGTCTAACTGGTGACTGGTTACTAGTGGCCCTGTTTTGAGTAGGGAGTTGAAGTAGATGATGTTCAGAGGTCTCTTGCAACCTTATGGCAGAAAAGTGTCTTAGAATTGCAGTCACTTTTTTATTCCTGCAATCCTCCATCTTATAATGTGTGTCCAGTATATGTATCAACCAAATACAGCTTTTTTAAAAGTCAAACTTTCACTGTAAAAATGTAGTCAGTACTTTATTTAAGGTACTGTATGCTAATGTATTTCCAGCAAAGTAAGTAAATATTACATTAGCTAGGGCAGCAGTACTTTTCTGTTAGATACAGTTGGATGACTTACTGAAAAAATGGTGAATTTTAGCCATTATTTAACTGTTACATTTCTGTGGTTGTACCAGACAGGTTATTTGCTGCTTATTGCTGTGATGCTGGTAGCCCGAACTTACTGTGATATTTGGATGATTCAAAATGGAACAGTCATTGAAAGGTACCTATGCATTTGTTATTTTTAAACATTCTGTCATGTGTTTAACAGGGAAAGTTGTCTATCAGAATATATATTTGGACATTTTATAGCTTGCTTGTTTAAAACTGTTGGAAAACTGTTGTAGTTGCAATTTGGGGAGAGACCACTATATTTTGATAAATAAATTATTTTTGTTCATCAATAAAAATTAAAAATTAATATTTTTAAACTATTTATTAAATATTCATTTGGTAACATTTTGTACACTGAAGACTCTAAATCTTGTGATCTGAATGTCCAAGAAGGTACTTCAGAATAGTGGGTTTATGTCTTAGACTTAGACATGTTGTGTGGCTATTAGGACTTTTATTTCTTCCCACTGAGCTGTTTGCTCTTTAGGTTGATAAAAACAATACTTTTGGTCTTAATATGTTAGAAAGTAGTTTTTAGACTTCTGATTATTCCTGCTGGTCTTGTTGCTAATTGAAGCAAGTCACATGTCTTGAACTGTGAATTCAAAATGATACTATGTTTGAGGAGAGACATTTGGTGCTTTGTAGAATGGAAGGACTGCTTTGTTTCTCTTGTGAGAATCTGTGAAAGCAGACAAGGGAAAGGACTGGTATTCTGTGACCATGAATTTTTGAGCCCTTAATGTGGGCAGTTACAGAGGAGCAGACAGGAGATAACTGCTCAGTCTGCGAGCGTGTCAGACTGGATCCTACAGCTGATGCTACAGGTTTCCATGATGATTTTGTTTTCTCTGTGTGGTCCCCTGAGAGTTTATCCACTTAAGACATGCAAGTTTATACTTTGTTGTTTCTCTTGTAACTGATTCTTAGCTGGTGGTCATTTACAGTGCTATCATTGGCCGCAGCAGAAAAGATTTCAAGAAATACTTGTTCAACTTCATTGCTGCAATGCCTGCTGTAAGTGCTTTTCTTGTGCTGACCTATTAGTAGAACATATTTTAAATGTAAATTAAGATTTTGAGGAAAAGGTCTCAAATGACTGTCATAAAACCTATGGAAATTAATTGTTTTACATACAGGTCTGTATGAAAACACATTTAATTTTCTGACTCCAGTATGGGGAGACTTTATCAGCATATTTCCTTATTGGTAGCAACTATTTTTTTAACAGCTATGTTCAGGTTTTCAGGTTAGTTTTGTGGATGACACTTTTGACTATACGTTTGGAATTCTTTTGGCATCATCGAAGATGAAGATTTCTTTTAGACTTTAATTTTTATATTTCTTACATTTTTCCCATATTTGTAATGCTTTCTTCCACACTTTAACTTTCCTTGAGTTTATTGACATCTCTGCTCTGCACCAGATAAAATAATTGTTGCTATCTGGTTTGCAATAAATTTTAAAACTAGTTGACAGATTTAAGGTAGTGGTTGTAAAATGGTGGCTCTATTCTAGAGTTTATCAGAAGAGCTGAAAATATGTAATATGAATGTATTTTATCTTAAGTGGTGAGATCCACTGGGACCTGGAGACAGAAACCTAAGCAGTGGTCCTGTAGATTGGTCTGATTGGTCTTAGATATGTTTATGGCATTATTGACTTTAAGGGGAAAATTGATCTATTTTAAAGTGTTAACACAATTTATGCTGCAAATTGATGTAAGTATATTTGCTCTTGTTCGTTAAATATTATTGTCTCTTATTTTTAGATCTCTTTAGTAAATAACTTCCTGAAGTATGGTCTAAATGAACTGAAGCTCTGCTTCCGAGTAAGACTTACCAGATACCTCTATGAAGAATATCTTAAGTAAGTAACCTTGTCTACAGATTTTATAAGTCGATTCAAGGAATTTTAAATACTTAGTGAAAAGGTTGCAAAGTTGCAATTAACTTGCAGTTGAGGGTGAGTGGCTTATCCAGGCTGTATATGCCATAGATACAAAGACAGTAAAGTTGGCTTAACTGGGGGACAAAATGCACTGCATTGCTTCCATGATTGGGTCAGATTCCAAAGTACTTCAGGTGCCTTCAGATGGTGAAGACTGAATTGGGCGTATGAGCTTGAGCAGCTCCTTCTGGACTGAAACGTGGTTGTCAGATGGGCTGTAGTAGTTTGTGTGAGGGTTTTCTAAGTTCAATAGCAGCACAGTATGAGCCTGAGCTTCAGCTCAGACATCCTGGAGCCTAAATGCCTAAACAATCCTGCATCATTTAATGTGGGTTTAGTCAGGTAAAAGCACAAGCTGCGTTGATTCCATACAGTAATTTAATGTTTGCCCTACTTAGCATCTCAGTTGTATGAAGCAAGGGTGTCCCAGTTATTTCAGATCCCAGGTAATGATTTTTTTTTTTCCTGCCACTTAGCAATTGTTTTGTTTCAGAACTTATACATACTACAAAATGGGAAATCTGGACAACAGAATAGCCAATCCAGACCAACTCCTTACACAGGATGTGGAAAAATTCTGTAATAGTGTAGTGGACCTGTACTCAAACCTTAGCAAGGTAAGTCTTTTGAGAGAGAACTTTGAGTAGTAGCTGTAGGCATTTAGGATGGGAGTGTCAGCTCACAACAATTGCTTGGAGTATGGTACTAAAAAAATTGTTTATGATACTGTAGTGTTTCATACTCTTTTTTGCTTTCATGACCAAAGCACTGCTGCGAGTTGTTATAATTTGTATTAAATTTTCTTTTAAAGAACATAGAGCATTCTTTTGCAGATGAGCAGTGATGACTTTGCTCTCTTAGGTAGATAGTTTTCAGAAGAAAAGCAATGGCTAGCTCTCAGTTACACATAAATATTTTTGTGTGTAGGGAGGTGTGGTTGAATAAGCTTTTCTCTGTTTCTGGTGTGAATTTTAAGGTGACTGGGTAGTGAATGAGAATGCTGTTGACATTTTTAGACTAAATTTTTTTGATGCTATGTATTTCATGCAAGCTGCATATAAGTAAACTACAATTTACTTAGTTCAAAACCTTCTGACTACAAAACCTGTAATTCAGCTGTTGTAGCTTTGCAAGGGAGGTTATAGAAGTTTGGAATATTCCTTCTATCAGGTACATAGCTAAATATATGACATTATCTTTTCATTCAGTATTTCTCATAATTACTTCAGTTAAAGTATTATGGGTTCTAGTCCACTTTTGATAAGTGAGCAGAGTGTCATTACAGACCTAAAATAGCAAAGTACTCTTTTCATATGGTATGTATTTATCTGAAGATCATGATGTTTTTATGTTCAATTCTAGAGCCAGTGTTTTCAGGAAAAAGTCATGTGGCTGAGAATCCTTTTGTCTTAGCTTTCAGTTTGTATAATAGACTAGCCAGTATTTTAGTACAGAGCTGTAACTGTTCTTGGGGTGGTACATGGCTTCTGAACAGTTTTATATTGGTTTTGTGTTTGTCTTCTAAGCCTTTTTTCCTATGCTTCTTGCAGCCCTTCTTGGATATAGTTTTGTACATCTTCAAGCTAACAAGTGCCATAGGAGCACAGGTAAATAAAAGGAGTGGTTTTTTTAGAACTATGAGCACATTTTCCCTTCCATGATTATAGCCTTGTACCTGTTTGGAATCTGAGGAAAACTCTAGGTGGTAGTTGTGGATTCCTACATTATTTGAAGGGCTATACTGAAAATAGGCATTTACACTTAATGTTTTGTGTGCTTTAGTGCCCTCTATTTTCAGGCAAGCAAAATAAAAAATCAGTATTTTCAGGCATTTGATCAACAATTTGAAGGACCAAGAAAGTTCTTTATTTTCTTCTAGTACTTATTTAGAAATCCTAGTTAGTACAACATCCTTTTAACTGTTTATGTCTTGCATGAATTGCATTTAAAGGTGAAAATAAGTTTTCTGTTTCTGTGCAGTTTCTATGAAGGGGAACCATTTCTTGCTTGAGCTGTAAGACTCAATAAGCTGAATAATTGCAGAATTAAGTCTTCAGATTAGTGAAATGATGCATTATCAAAAATGTTCAGGAGTTGAACATTTTTGATAATGCATGTGGGTCACACGGTGCAAGTTTTGTTGAGACAGACTTGCAGTAAGGCTTAACTGAACCTTGGTAACTGTCAGTCTCAGATGTCTTTGTTCTGCTCTCTGTAGTAGTTATTGTGTGCAGTTTATGCCAAATTCAGTTTATGCCATTCCATGCTTCAGTGGTATTTAATCATCTGTTCTTCATCTGTGAAAACTTAGGATCCAGGACTACTTGAGAGACCAGGAAACAGTGGACAGTGGGATTGAAATATTGACTGCTGTGTGACACTTCAGCAAATGTACAGGGAAAGAAGTAGGCAGAAAGGAGGGAGAAGAAATGGGAGGGTATCAGTAAATCATTAATGAAGTAATCTAGGACAGTAGGGGACAGGTCACACTGGGTGGTGATAAAAACCTGAATAGAAGGCTGGGGTGGGAAGGACATCTAGGGACAGAAAATTAGTAAAGTAGTATCTACAACAAGAAAGAAGGTGACATGATGGGAATTGTAAATGTAATTGACTTGGCAACATAGGCACATAGGAGGTGAGAACTAAGGGATTCATGCTTTCTGGGCACTTTGGATACAGATCCTGTCATTTGAGACCACCTAAGCTTTTATTCTTTTTTGATTTTCACAGGGTCCAGCTAGCATGATGGCATACTTGATTATTTCAGGGTTCTTCCTTACACGTTTAAGGAGACCAGTTGGCAAGATGACTATAATAGAACAGAAGTATGAAGGGGAGTACAGATATATCAACTCACGGCTCATTACAAACAGGTATACACCTGCTTGGCTGCTAAGATACAAGTGACTGTACTGTGGGGTAAATGGAAGTTGTGTGTTAAAATATACTTGGGGAGTGTGATGTTATCAGGTCTGAGCCAAGTGTTTGCATCTTTATGTACTGTAATTTGTATGTGCATTATATTCCATAGTCAAGACAGAGTGGGGTACAATAATTCTGTGTTCTTCTGTTGTGAAAAAGTACAAGCCCTTGTTTCATAAAGTGACTGAAAGTGCTATATTCCCATATTTTATGGCTTTTTCAAGACTGTCTTTAACAAAATGAAGTTGCATTATTTTTATTTGTTTCTTTTTAGTGAGGAAATTGCTTTTTATAATGGGAACTTGAGAGAAAAACAGACTATTCACAAGACTTTCCGTAAGCTGGTAAGCCTCTTTTATTTCTTAAAACATTTTAAGCAAAACTTAATTAATTCTATTGTGATGATTATTGACATGTGCTCATAAAAATTGACTTACAGTGGCTTGATGTTTTTGCTGCTACTTTCATTTGATTAAAAAATTAGCTGGTAGGCTATAAGCAGAACAGAACATTTCTGTCAGAATGGCCTTTCTCTTGCCACTTACCTCCTTGTCACCCACCACAATTACTCTTCTCACTATTTAGTTTCATGTGTAGGTTCTTTTGATCACAAATATAAGTCTTTGCCAGCATGGACTCTTGTCCAGTGCTTACCACACTTAGTGGCATGTTAATTTATCTGAGGTACTGAAAAATAATTGTTTGTAACCAAATGTCTAATAAAAGATAGTAAAACAGTTACTGGTAGAGTTTGAACTTCTTTCTTCTGTAACTTACCAGGTGGAACACTTGCATAATTTCATCCTGTTCCGGTTCTCTATGGGTTTCATTGATAATATCATTGCCAAATGTAAGTATGTCTCAAGTGCTAATGGATTCCTATAAACAACAAAACAAACTTTTTACATAAGAAATGTCTTTTTTCTTTCTGTTCAATTAATGTGCAGCTTAATATTTATTCTTAAACTGCAGACTTTGCCACTGTGGTTGGCTACCTGGTTGTTAGTCGTCCATTTTTGAACCTGTCTGATCCCCGTCACCAGAATAGCACTCATGCCGAACTTTTGGAGGTAAATAGACCAGAATTAAAACAACATCTACATTTTAAATTTTGTTAGTCCATGTTAAGAAACTTTCTTCTACTCTAGGATTACTACCAAAGTGGAAGAATGCTGCTGAGAATGTCTCAAGCTTTGGGCAGAATAGTCCTAGCAGGCCGTGAAATGACAAGATTGGCTGGGTAAGCTTAATAGTAAGAATCTTTCTCATCTCAATTTCAGAAACTGATTGTGGAATTAAAATAAGCTTATGTGCTTTGTTCCTTACAGCGTGCTAAAAATTCAGCAATTAAAAACATTTTATGCTGAAAACACTTCTGAAGATGTGCTATTATGTCCACTAGAAATTTCACATCTTGATAGTACTAGCATGCAGTTTGAATGTATGGTTGAAACCTTGTCAAGTGCTCTTAAGTCAATTATGTATTGATTATTTGCCAAAATTTTTTTTTACACTGTAAGAAGTAAAATTTGGCTATTACAGAAAAAGGAAAAGGAGCTTTTAAAATATGGTGCATATTAGACAACCTGGTGCAACTCTAAAATGTAAACATTCTGCTTCTGTGCTGGGTTGAATAACTTTGTCATTTTAGCAGTTTGACAGAGTGCTTATTAGACCTTCTGTGGATTTTTTTTTTCTTTTTTTAAGTTTCACAGCTCGAATCACAGAATTAATGCAGGTTCTGAAGGACTTGAACAGTGGCAAATATCAGCGTACAATGATATCACAAGAAAAAGGTAGATGTGCTGTAATATTCAATATGTCATTTCTTTGTAGCATTTCAGTCACTAATACATTTTTCTTTATTTAAGATGGAGATAAAAAGCAGCCTTTGTCTTTGATACCTGGATCTGGAGAAATTATCAACAGTGATAACCTTATCAAGTATGTTTGTGAAGTTTCCTCAGGTTCAATAGTTCAGTATTTTTAAAGTAGACGTTTTTAAAGTCTTTCTCTCTGCGACTATTAATAGAGGGCTGAATGCCTGTTATTACAATTTGCAGTTCCTGTTGAACTTTATTTATTAGTAATCCCACCTCAGCATTTCTGTTCTGTAAGCCAATCCTTGTCCTCTCATATTAGCAGAATACATATTCTACTCTCTGAACTCAGGGTTTTTGGTAACATTCCTACTGTCCTTTAGAATAAGACTTCTCAGACCATTTTGTTTCCTCTTAGAAATATATTAGTTATGGATTTTATTCTATTATATTATGCAAACAGGCAAGGGGGAGGTGAGGAGAGAATTCATTGGATGTTGTAGAACTAGTGAGATACACTTCACTACTAGGTTTAAAATGCCATGCATCCTTAAATGTAGGTTTATATCCACAAGATGGTCTTCTGTTTTGGAGACCAAAGGCTTAGAAGGATTCAAAAAACAAATACAGGAGATAAAACCAAGCCTGTAGATGTAGATGTTTAAAAGCTAGAGTTTCAAGAACTTCCCTAGCTGTTCATAGCTGGAAACTGGGAGAGTGAATGAAGTACTGGTGAGGTGTTTCCCAGTGCCTTAAATCTCTCAAGTAAACATGCAGTATTAGCTTCTTTTAGACAACTGTTGTTTTTTTCTTTTTTAACTTTGCAATACATACAGGTTTGATCATGTTCCATTGGTGACACCTAATGGAGATGTTTTGATTGAAGACCTTAACTTTGAGGTAAGTTTTTTAGTATCGTAGGAAACAATATTAATATAAAATTTTCAAGGGAAGATGATAGCTTCGAAGGTCATCCTGTTTATAAGAAAAGTACAAACAAATTGTCATGTTAGTTTAAAAAAAAGGCAATAAGCTATTTTACCCAAAAAAGGTTTTATTGTTACAAGTTCATTTTCTTCCAGCTGCAGTTGCTGCTAAACCAATTGGGGAAAAAAAACTAGTTTTTGCTGGAAATTGCTCATTGTAATGTCAGAAAGTTGTGAACAAGCATATGATAATACCAGATTGTCCTATTGATTGTAGAAACTTTCAGCAATACTTTTTCACTACCCTTTTATGTGTTGGCTTTGCAATTTTAGGTTCGATCTGGTGCAAATGTGCTGATTTGTGGGCCAAATGGGTGTGGGAAGAGCTCCCTGTTCCGTGTTCTTGGTGAGGTAAGGGAACTTTATAAAACAAACAGGGGAGAATCCAGGGTATGGTTATAATTAGACTTTTTTGTCACATTTTAATCTTTCTCCCTTTGCAGTTGTGGCCGTTGTTTGGTGGGCGTTTAACAAAACCTGTAAGAGGAAAGTTGTTCTATGTTCCTCAGGTGAGACCAAGTACTTTACTCGACAGTAATGTTCTCTGTACTTTGACTATGTTTGGAAATATTTGACGTATCTTTTTGGTTCTAATTGTATCTCAGAGACCATACATGACTCTTGGAACGCTCAGAGATCAAGTTATATATCCAGATACTTTGGAAGATCAGAAAAAGAAAGGGATTTCTGACCAGGTAATGATAATTAGTTCATTAACCCTTTGTCTTGCTCAGGATGAGTAATGCTTCCAATTCAGAAATACTGAAACTGCTATGAAAAGCACTGCATTTAATAGGACTTTAATATTTACCAGGGTTGATAATGTTATGGTATAATCCTTTATAGCTTTTTCAACCACTTGTCTTTTAAGTTCACGTAAGCTTTATTTGTCATTTGTGTTTCCATAAAAGGTGCTGAAGGAGTACTTGGATAATGTTCAGCTGGGTCCAATCTTGGAACGTGAAGGAGGCTGGGATAGTGTTCAGGACTGGATGGATGTACTCAGCGGGGGAGAAAAACAGAGAATGGCAGTATGTCTCAAAAGCATAAATGCTTAACAAATGCAGAACATAAGTAAAAAATGAAATGTGACCTGTAAGCTATTTTTATTTATTGAATATTAGTATTTGAGTTAGAAGAAACCTCCAAAATGTGAAATACCTAAATACTGAGGGAACAACTGGAAATAGTGGCGTTTGTACTCAAAATTTAAAAGGAAATACTGGCTTTTGAACATTGTCTTGAATAAAAAAAGTTTGAGATAATGTACAACTTCTGGATTTTCAGGTTTCAGTGGGTAGCAACTTAATTCCCTTTCCATAGTAGATTTTTGGACACTAATTCTTAGTTTAACTTCTAACACTGCACCATCGCTGGTAGTTCTGTATCCACAGTATCTTTTTTTTTTTTTTTTGGCTTGCATTCCAGATGGCAAGGCTGTTCTATCATAAGCCCCAGTTTGCAATTCTGGATGAGTGCACAAGTGCTGTTAGTGTGGATGTAGAGGACTACATTTACAGCCACTGCCGAAAGGTGAGAGCTCTTTGTTTCTGAAATTATCTCTCTGTACATTACCAAGAAACCTAAAATGGTACAAGGTTCACTCCTCCTTATGCCTAGCGCAGAATAAAATTTAAAAAAAAATCTGGAGAAAAGCTTAGAGAGGCATACAACTTTATGCATGCTAGAATTCAGTAATCACTTTGTAGTCCCAGGATAATTTAGATGTATGTATAGCCTCTATGATATACACAGAACTCTTACTAACTGCTAAGTACCCTTACTTTTCCAGATAGAGTCTTAGAATGTCAAGTAGCACCAAATAACCTAAAATTGTAGCATGCTTTCTTGTTCAAAAGGCTTCTTTTGGCCAGGGCAACAGAAGTGAAAGGCTGGAAGTTCACATTTCCATCTATTTTGAGATATGAAAAGCCAAGCACTCTAGGAAGATATGATGATAGAGCTTTGTGTTTCCTTGTTGTCTTAAACTCACCATTTTAGATTCTCTGTAGTGCCATGTGAAATCAGTAAGATTGAATTTCACACCCTAGTCTGGGAAAGAAAGGGCTTGAAATGACCTTAGTTATTGAGTAGCAGTATTCCAGAATGATAAAGGAGCAAAGCTGTGCAGCCACTGAAATATGTTCTTCAAACTGAAGGACCCCTCTGCAGTAGTGAATGGACAGGTGAGGACTCTGCAGGAGAAGGAGTATTACTTCATGAACTCATTTTACTACATTGGTATCAATACCCTTACAATTTTTAAAGCCTATTTTCCATATGCTTCTTAATCTATAAACATGAACATTCATTTGTGCTTGCCAAGTGGCTAGTGCATGTTGCTGAAAAAATAGAATTCCTGGTTGGACTGTCCTTACAAAAAGAACAAATGTCATCTTGCTTTATCATCAGAGTCATTTTGTCCTTGCTCCTACTGTTGGGGATGAATAGTTGGCTAAGTTGAAAGGAAACAAAGGAAGGTTATTCACTTTAAATTGTCACTCAAAGTGTGTAATTGATTACTGCTTTTGTGGCTTTGGAATTTTTTTTGTTGTGAAAATTCCTTTATTGCCAGCTTTATTGTTTTACCTGCTTCCTGACTTGCCTCTTTTACTCACTTAATTCTATGTTTGACAAGTCTTTAGGAGCAAAAAAATAGTGAAATCAATTAAAAATTATAAATCACTCCTGATAGCTTTTATTACAAGATTTTGCGGGGGGCGGGAAGCAATCAATGTATAGTGTTAATAATAGTCTGGAAGTTTGTGGTTTTGAATTTAAGATCTTCTTCTGATACAATACTGAAAAATTAATAACACTTTAGCCATGAAAATAATGAACTGTTTGGTGGGTATTTTTGTCATATAGGTTGGCATCACTCTCTTCACCGTTTCCCACAGGAAGTCACTCTGGAAACATCATGATGTATGTAATCTTAGCTTTATTAAGACTATTTCTGGGTTTTATTGACTGACTGTAGGAAATTGACTTGGTGATTCGAGGTTTTATCATTTTACATCCTAATAGGTCGTGTTCTGTTTGGGTTTTTATGAGGTTTGACTTTTCATAATCTCATTTTACTCTTTGAAATTTTCTTATGCTTTTATTTATGAAAGAATGCTATCCATAGATTTTAAATGTATCTATAAAATATGAGAGGCTTGCTTAAGACTGATTTCATAGACTCAAAAAAATCCTTGAACTAGAATTCAGTAAACAGCATGGATTCTTTTGCTTTCATTATATCTAATATATTTATGCTTTAAGAAAAGTCTCTAAGACATGGACTTTTTTATTGCAAACTAAGATTTTACTGTTCTTTTTATGCAGACAGACTGTACCTGTGGATAAAAATACTGAATTCATACATGGGGATGAATCTGTGCCCCACAAAACCCAAGAGAGCAGTGTTAAGTTAAGATATGGCTGTTAGCAGACTGATGTATGATATGCAGAAATACAGTTTAACATTTTTACAGAGGCAGGTGAATTTAATGACATGTGAGGTGAGAGCAGCTTACCCTCTGAGTTTAAGTTTATCCTCTAAAACTTTTTAAACATTTTTTGAAGTTTTTAAAATATTATCTTTTAAAAATAATATTTTAAAATTTTATTTATATATATTATATATTTTAAAAATATATTTTAAAATTATATTTAAAATATAATTTATTTTGGTCTTTATAGAGCTGGTAATTTTTAGTTAATAACATGTTGTTTTTTTTTCAGTTCTACTTGCATATGGATGGCCGAGGAAACTATGAGTTCAAGAAAATAACTGAAGACACAGTTGAATTTGGATCTTAAAGTCATGAACTGAACTGCTAGAAATTGATCATTACAAGAAATGTGTAGAATGTCAGACAATGTACCATAAAATTACTCAGCTTGTTAAGCATTTACTATTATGTAGGATATTGCTAATTGTGTATATGTTGGTGTAATTATTGATACGTACTAAGAATGTCCTTATTCTTGTGGTTTAAAAACCTGCCTAAATTAAATTGGGCTTAAATTAGTGTAACCTGATTCATCCTGGGATGCAAACCATTTGAAATCGGCTGATTTGACTTTTGTAGACCTTCTTTCCCTTTGGTGAAAAGCCCTGTTAAAATTAGGGCTGCTACCTCTCTTGTTCCTGCAAAGCAGTCTTGGATTTTTGCTCTGTTCTATGCATGTTTCAGAGAGATCTCGCACGGTGCAGGACGTTGTCCCATCTTCAGATCTGTGCCCTGTTCAATGAAAGAGCCTTTTCCTTGTCCAAGCCTTGTGATGTAGCCAATGTGCCCTTGCTGAAAAAGGATGAACTGAAACTAAAAGACAAAACAAATTCCTTCTGGTGTTTAAAAAAAATTACAATTGTTCTTTGCTGGGATTTGGATTTACCTTTACCATCTGTCTGTCCATGCAGTTCTATCTGCAGCTCGGCTCCCATTCTCTCCCAGTTTAGCAAAAGCTTCCTCTGTCTTCCAGCCCAACTGTCCTTTTTCTGGCCAAGAAATATTGTGGTAATGAAGCATTGAGAGGAGGTTGAGGGAGGAAAGGACTGACCCACAAGAAAAAACGGGAGGGAAAGAAAAGTGGTGATCCTTGTATCTAAGCTTGTGAATGTTTTTAGCTCTGAAGAAGTTAATGACTCCCACAAGAAGGAACAGAGAAAAGAGTGTGGGTCCAGGCATGTGTTAAATCAGTAGAAGTTATAATGAGCTCAAAAATGTTAATCTGTGAAATAGCAGACAGTTGTCCTGTGTTCAGTCCTGTAATACAGCGGTTACTTTTTCCAAGTTCCTCCTTTTCTCCCTCTTCAAAAAAATTTGATGATCCTATAGTTTTAGCTGCCCTTCATGTCTGAATTTGAAAGCAAGTGATAATGGTACTCTCTGTTTGGTCTTCTGGACTGTGAAGCCCGAAACAATGCTTTCATTCTTCATGTTTATTCTCTGACTGTCATGATGTTTCTTGATTTCTGTTACAAATTATTTACTAGTGATTCTCTGTGTTTTGTAAGGATTTCCAGTCCTTGCTGGTTTTCTTGTTCCAGCTTCCAAATCCCCTCAAAGGAACCAAATTATTACAATATTTTATTGTAGTTGTTTTTTTCCATACAAGTGATTACTGTGCTTGTCATTTGACTTTGACAAGCATAAATGCAGCAAGGTTTTTTTTTGTGATCAGGGAATAGGAAGGTGTAATTCAAACTGAATTGCTGTTTAGGCTTTAAAACAAAAAAAATTACAATACCTGTTGTACAGTGAAGGTCTAATAGTTTTTTAGTGTTCCATGTAAGATATAATATAGGAATGCACTACATGAAGGCATGCATAAAATATGCAATACATCTGTACTTTGTGCATCTTCTATCGAGGGTTTAGATTTAAAAAAGCCCCTACTTTTTATAAAATGAATATGTACTTGGATGCACTGCTGTTTGTTAATTTTTACCCAGTTTAATTAGGAAATTTATTTCATGTTGAAATTGCTACCTGTTAATATTTTTCCTTTTATCATAGTTCTTGCCCCTACCTGTCAGTATTCCTTCCAAGTACTCAAATGCAGACAGCTGTCATGGTACAAGAATCTAGTGACCACAGTGGAATCTGAGTATAATGCATCAATCAAGGTCATAAAAGCTTCTCTCTCAAGTACAGCATATTCCAGAGAATAAAGTACCATAATAATTTTTGTGCTTGTTTTACAGGAAGGCAGATAGGTGCCTGATTTCACTAATCTCTTGGTTCTGTTCATTCAGGTTCTCACATCAGCCATAACATAGCAGGAAGCAGCATGCTGTGTGTGAGGTTGCAGTCTTTTTTAAAATGTAACTATGGAAATAGGGATGACAGGTCGGTATGGGATGGTTTTTTGGTTTGGGGTTTTTTTTTGTCAAAGTTCTCAGCACAAATGCAACTTCTTCTCTTGGAAGGGATGTTTTAGTAGCCTTTTAGAGAGACAAAGAAAAAATTCTCTAGACTGAGAAAATTGCTATGATCTTTGTGATTAGGGCAGTCTTGCAGTGGAGTAGCGAACTTGGGATACTTTAATGTGTTTTTAATGCTAACAAGTAAAACCATACACAGCACACTTACATTGCCCCCAGCAGCCAATCCCAATTGTACTTTACAATTTTACTCTGTTACCGGATGTAACAGAGTTTTGTGTAATCTTGTATTAATTTTTAAAACTAATAACAAGCAAACAAAAAAATCCGTCTTCAAAACCAAGGAGGAATACGTTTGCCTTTAGATGCTATGAAGTTTGTTGAAACTGAGTATGCTGGTATCTCCTTAGGGCCAGGACTTGGTGTTTCTAAATATACTGGAAGGGAAAAAAAAATTCTGTGCTTGATTGTAAGGGAGGCTTATAAAGAAAATATAAAAAAAAATAATATTTTAGAATTATATTCTTGAAAGGCGTTACATTAAAGTGTTTGAGATAGACTTGATCTAATGAGAGATTGTAAAAAAAAAAAAATCTAATGGAAATGATGCAAGTCTCAGTTCCGTTGCAGAATTGCACTGTGATACTGTACATTAGTTATGTTTCTTTAATAGCACAAGTTGGAAGTTCATGAAGTGGAATTCTGAACTACCTTAATAGACACCACACTGATGAACACTTTCAGTCTCAAATTGCTGGTGCTTTGAAGATGGTACTGGAAATAGTCAGATGGCTGCATTTCAACGGTGGGAAACATTCCTGTGTGTAAATACTGTAAAGTGTTTTGGAGGGGGAAACAGCGCTATGTAAATGTAAGACATTAAGTGCCTCTGAAATAATAATAATAAAAAAACTAAAGATAAAATATATCTAGGCTTTTCATGTTTTTTAATGATATGATTAGGAATTCTGTAGTAAATGCATATGCAACAAATGCCGAGTTGCTCAATGAGCCGATTGTCTTTGTGTTCAGCTTTGAAAAGCTGCAGTGCTGTGTGAAATTTGCCCTGGAATCAGCCAGGTGATGCCATCCAGTTTAGGCTTAACCAAGTACATGAGCTCAGTTCTTGAAGGCACATGCTTAGAGCAGTGGGATTATGGGTGCATTAATCTGCTTTGAGTCTGCACTGGATTGGCTCAGTTGGCTGTAGCCTGGTGCTAATAATGTACGAGCCATTGACCTAAGAGCTGGACTTGATCCTTCTGGGTCCCTTCCAGCTCACGATATTCTGTGAGCCTGGCCACTCCTTTGTCTCCTGGCCACTTCTTTTCCCTTTGTTGATTTTAGAAGGGCCCGAATAAGATTAAAATAATACCAGTTTGTAATTCTTGTGAGTGCTCCTTAATCTTTTTATTTTGAGGATAGTAAGTTCATCTTTTTCCACATTTATTGTATTTGTAATTTTTAGTTGTTTTTGTTCGTTGTGGTAGACATACCAGTTATCAGGATACTTGAAACACAGTAATGTAAAAGTGCAGCCAAGATATGCTTGAATTGACTGTTTTTTAAGTGATCAGTGTTTTCTAATGCTAACAAGTATGAATTTTTTTCTTTTCTTAACTGAGATTAGTTGTGCAGCAAGTGTATTGTAAAGCATTCTTAAAGGGTAGACCTCCCTTTGAAGGAAAATGTCTCAACCAAGAATGCAGTCGTACAAATCAAAGTGTTGTTCAATTAGGTTGATGAGTTAGAGGAGAAAAGAAAGGAATTTCTGTGTTGTGGAGGGGATGTTTAATGCATAAATTTATTTTTAGATACATTAAGGTAGAAGTTAAAAATCCATTATTAAAATTTAAATTTAACTGTCATTGGTACCATGAGATGTCCATAGAAACATCCATGGTAATGATCACCTGAAATCCCACTGCAAAAAATAGTGGGGTGAAAAGGTTGACAAGGTTTTATAGAGAAAATAAACCACAACTTTAATCTGTCAAGAAAATCAAGTGTACAAGTTCAAATCTGCTTACAAGGCTGCTGTTCAAAGCAGTTATTTCTATGTATGATCTATTTGCTTCTTTCTCAGGTGTACATAGCCAGATGGTTTGTGCAAGTCTCTTTCCTGAGCATGGAGAGGGGTTTCTTGATTTTTCTAATCAGGGATGTGCAGCTGTGTCAGGAGAAGGTGGGTTGGCTGGTTTTCTCTTCACATGTTGTTGTTCAAGGCTCTTGCCAGTGGTCTGGACACAGTCAGGTTTTTATTATGATGCCTGAAACTTCACTGGGAAGTTTAGAGTGGCTGTGCACATTGCAGGTCTCTATGTTTGTTTATATGTTCTGATGGAATCCATCCTGTCACATGTACTCAGAGGATGAAACTGGTTTTATTCAACCCAAACCATTCTATCATTCATCTTGAAAAAGAAATATAGCCAAGTTAGGTTATTATGAAAGCAGCTTGTCTTTCATGTTAAAAACCTTAGAAAAAATGTTATCTTCAAAGCCTTCTTTGAACTTCTGCATAATTTTCTTTCCTTGAATTTAAAAGCAGAGTCAGGTGACAAATAGCCTGGAACTTCACAGACAGAAGCTGTTTTAAGGGAGTAATTTGGAAAATACAGTAAATTCAGGGATTAATAGGAATAATATGCCTAAGCAAATTCCTTGGGGATTGACTTGGGAAACTGAAGACATTTTGCCAGTAATCCTGCAATGAATGCTACAATGCAAGAATAATCATCCAGTTGGCATTTTTGTATGGGAGAGAAGGGAAACTTGGATACTCTACTTATGTGGGATATATCTTGCACAAACCAGACTTAATCACAGTCTCTCTTACACTGCTTAGAAACCTCTCTCTTGGTGACCTTTGGCAAGTCTGAACCATAAAGATTGAACACAATTGCTTTTACTGTGAAAGGAGCACATTTGTTGTAATGCCCAGCCCTGTTCCCTGCTCTGTTTGTCCACAAACCATCCTTCATTTCCCACCAATCTCTCATTTTGGGAAACCAGTCGCATCTACACATGATGAACCAAAATAGAACAGAACTGGAAAAATGAGGTCAATTCTGTGTAGACAAAAAAAAAATGCTGAGACTGGTTTACTTGGGGAGAAATAGAGAGCTCTACCTACGTGAC